AGTGGCTTGTTTTACAACGTCGTTGCCAAGCGACGAAAACCCAACCCCGATGGCAAACACCAGGGGGAGGGGGGCGGCTTGTTTTACAACGTCGTTACCAAGCGACGAAAACCCAATCCCGATGGCAAACACAGAGCAGGGGAGGCATGAAAACGTGAGGAAAGGCATGGGGCGCGCTCGTTGGTTGAGGGTTGTCCAGAGGTTGGGACCAACCGTCCATTAAGCACCACCACCGTCCAGACGGGAGAGGCGGACTAAAAAGGAGCGGCGCGGGTGGAGACCTTGAGAGACAAGACAGAACCGAATAGGCGTCGTTTCGTGCATATGCAGTGGCCTGCGTCCGCAACCTCTTGAAAGTAACTCATGGGGTCGATGTTCAACAGCAACAAAGCAAGAGCGCAAATCAGGATGACAGTTTGAGAGATCTACGTTACAAAGACGACTTGGGTATGAGGGGGTCGGCGGGGATGAGGCCACTATGTGCGGCGAAACCTATCATGATCATTTTAAGTCGGAGGCAAGCGAACATGGACAGCACCCTACATTTCCTGGGAACAGTATGGTGCGCCAACAGCTAAAAACAGCCACCGAGGTCCATGTAACGTAAAAAAATAGTATGTCCCTCAATGTGTCGCTGTCCTTGTGACAGACATTGCCCTTGGCTTTGCTTTGCCAACAAGACAAACATCCCACCCACGCCATGGTGCACGGGCACGCACATGCGGCAATTCGTATCATCTCAAGGGTCAGTCAAAGAGCACCCGCAGCCATTGAAGGACAGTGTATATCAGCTGTTGACTAATATGATAGCATTGAAGTATAAAAACATTCGAAACACCGATAACAAGGCTGCACGATCGCAAACTTCTCAAAAGGCTGGAACGCGACGAAACAATCCCCGCGCAAATGATGGCATTTGAACTTCTCTGAACGCGAAAAGCACGCAGTAAACTGACGCATAATCACCTTGAGGGAAAGAGGCGGATGGGCACGGATAACGACGAACACCAGGGCGTAGCAGAAGATGTTCATTGCCAGGTTATGTGGTCCGTCCATTGCGTTGGCGTTCCCCATGTACTGCGGCAGAAAGTGCCCGTCGAACGTCGCAAAACGGCAAAAGGGTCATAAGAATCATCAACGACAACAGCAGCAGCTTTCCGGAACCAGAAGCCGAAGCAGTCGTACGGGTATAAACAGGCAGAGTATCCATCAGCAGCTTGCATGTTGCTAGATTGAAGAGCCCTTACTGAATGCGCAAGATGGGATGACCCCCTACACCAGCATGAAATCGTTATTCACACGAAAAATGTGCCGACCAAGAACACCTCGCGATACATATGTGGAACCCAGCCAGCACGGACAGTACGGGCAGTATGAAGGGGCAGGTTGGATCTCGGGAACAACAAAAATGCAAAGCCAAGGATAACACACCAGATCTACGTTGGAAATACAAGCCACTGTTCCCAGGAAGAGGGGTACCGGCATTCCCTCGCAAGCGAAAGAGACGAAACTGATTCGACATTTGTCATATACGTCCTTCGTTGGTACACGAATAAATTAGTAGAACACAATGCATGTAGCAGCAAGGCCACGGCTCCACCACGACACACGAACATGAATGACTGTGTTCTTAGTATAGCTTGTGTGTAACGGTATTGGGCACGGACCCTTCTCCGTGCAAAAAGCACGGTGCCTGCGCTGGCGGCGACGAAGAAAAAGACGCACCCACATGCTTCAATGGTCAGTAGGATAACCTCCAAAATGAAACACAGACAGGTTGTGTCATTGAGACGAGCAGTTCGAGAGGACGCAATTATAACAATGTTCCCGAAACCGAAGTTGTGCTTCTTCGGTGTTGGCGCCAGGCAGCGGCGACGGGATTATCGGTGAGGATGTTCATGGTCACTGCCGTATTACATTAACTGCTTGGAAGGAGCAAATCGTTCCCAGGGTGACCACAAGGAAACTGGTTGTTTCCTTTCCGCCCCAGTTTGGCACGACGATGGCCCAGCACCGCAGTACTTCACAAAAACAAACAAGAAAAAACGCAGGTTTCTAACATCGCCAAGGGAACTTGCACTCAACCGCTACAACGACTCCGCCGTTGGCAATAACCTTCCACGAAGTCGAGATATTTCCTCTGGGAAAAACGACCGCGCAAGTGGAGCACAAGAAAGGGCTGCATTTCATTACAGTGATTGCACGTCCGTGTGCACTAAATACTAACCGGAATCTCCTCTTCATCGTAGTAGGTGGTGAGATCCAGGCGGTACCCGATGGGGTCAACCATGGGTCCGAATAGATCCAGCAAATGTGTCTACGAAGGTGAACGCAGCAGCCGTCGATCGAAAGGGCGTGGGGCAGTGAGAGAAAGGGAAGTCGGCGGACAAAGAAGAGTAACGGAGACAAGGGAACCGAAGGGGGGGATAGAGAAGAGCAGACAGGCAGCGAGGATGGAGGAAGACAGAACGGGGAAACACGGCGAGCGCGTAAATCGAAGTCCATAAAACAACCACACACATCCACTCGTCACATTAACAGCCCAATTAAGAAGAATGGCCGCCCTAAACCCGGTGCAGCGTTCACCTTGAGTAGCGTGCCGACGTGTAGACCGAGAGCGATCTGTCCCGCCGTCTGGTAGGTCGAAGCCGTGAAGCTCGTGATGAGCCCGTTGTACAGGCCGCGCAAGCTCGACCTTGCGTTGTCGGGGTCGACCGAGCTCTGTCCGCGTACAACAATGTATGCCAGATGTTAGTTTTCGTTGCGGCGTTACGTCTACCCAGCCGCGGTCACCACGTCAAACAGAGGTCCTGCAAATGGACATGCTATCGATTGACGGTCTAACCTGCAACGCTACCAGCAGCAAACCTACGACCAACCACGGAGAACAACAACAACAACGGCAAAGACACCAACAGCTTATCGAACTCGCCTTGACAGAAATCATGGAGCTGTTGATGGAGTTGATACCCGCTTGCTCCTGTTTTATTGTAGTCAGCTCCTTGCTGCGGGAGAAAACGGGACCACACAACGCCCACGCCGGGAAACCATCAACGCACAGGCAGGATGGAGAGCGTGTGCGATGCAGCCTCGTTTGTCATACATGTATGCCAAAATCTTAGGACCATAAATTTACCCGGAGCCCACGGCGGAGACACATATTTGGGACGTTTCACTTCTACGCGATTTCCGTCGTCCTCTCGCACATGTGTGCATCCCTCTGCCTACTGTTGTTCTGAATTTCCACTAGAACGAGACTCACTGGTATTTCTTCATGAACTTGCGGGTGTCTTCCTTGGTGAGCTTCCGGCCGTGCGCGAGCAGCCGGTGCTTCTCGTCGATCATCCTCTGCCTCGCGGCCTGGATGTATTGTCACCGAAAAAAACAAGGGTAACCATGCCTCTTTGCCCATCTCAAATTTTTCTCGAGGCCGGTGTTGTCTTGGATCAACCGTGACAGGCAAGGCCTCTCGGTTTACCTCAGTTATCAGCACTTCCGAGGCATACTACCTGTAGCGGCATTTCGCCGGGTTTGAGTAGAGTACATGTCACAAGAAATAAGTTCGATTTTCTCATATTTTTCCATTTTGTGGTCACCCTGACTGTTGACATAAGAACGAAATCGTTGATTCAACGATGTGCAGTAAAAAACACAAGGGAGAAGGCCGGGGGGGGGAGGTGTACTCATGGTCGTGCATCCCGTAGTCGTTAGACCATTCACCNAGTCGTTAGACCATTGACCTCGCATCCCTACAAAGCCGGGACGGAGCACGCCGGGTTCTCACCGGACCAGGCTTTCACATCACCGAGCGCGAAGCGCCGTGAGATATTCGGCGAGTCGCATGAAGGGTGCGCTGCATCCTGCTAAGGGTGGTCGGCATCTTGTGCTTACTTCCATGCGTACGGATGACAGCTGCGTATGACCTAATCACTTGTCTGGTGCTTTCACTTCCAGAGACAGTTAAAGGCACTGTGTAACTGCGTCGAGGGTGCTTGACCATTTGACAGAACGTGGTGCGGTCTTCCCCCTTGCACGGAGTGAGGCTTCTCCACCCCGCACAACATGATCCACTCGACCACCGTTATGGTCACCGCCAAAGCAGAACAGAGGAACAAAACAACAACGGTGACCTGGTTGCCGAGCTCACGAAGTGAATTGGCTTGTGATACGACGTCGTTGCCAAGGGACGAAAACCCAACCCCGATGGCAAACGCCGGGGGGCGGGGGGCGTGTACTCATGGTCGTGCATGCCGTGGTCGTTAGACATTTGACCTCGCATCCCTACAAAGCCGGGACGGAGCACGCCGGGGTCTCACCGGACCAGGCTCTCACATCACCAAGCGCAAAGCGCCGTGAGGTGTTCGGCGAGTCGCATGAAGGGTGCGCTGCATCCTGCTAAGGGTGTTCGGCATCTTGTGCTTACTTCCTTGCGTACGGATGACAGCTGCGTATGACTTAATTTATTTTCTGGTGCTTTCACTTCCAGAGACAGTTGTAAGCACTGTGTAACTGCCTCGAGGGTGCTTGACCATTTTGACACAACGTGGTGCGATCATCCCCCTTGCGCGGAGTGAGGGTTCTCGACCCCGCACATGATCTACTCGACCACCATAATGTTTACTGCCAAAAACAAATCGGAGGTAAAA